CGAGGACACCCTCTTTTGGTTTATTTTAAGTATTTGGTGGCCTTGCTATTTTTTGCATTTTATTCTCGTTTTTTTGGTTATTTTTTTTTCATTTTTTCTTTTGCTTTTTGGGCTATTTAATCGATACTTAAGAGAGCTAAATGGCCTGCTAATTAGTATTGTTAAACGGCTCGTTTTTAGCCGATTTTTAAAAACGGATAACTCAATATTCCATCCAGAAAAATATTACGCAAGCCTGAAGATTTTGCTCATTGAAGGAACAAAGATCTATACATATATTAACAAAATCTCGAGGCATAGGCATAATTTTTCTTGCTAAAATATTGAGATAGCCGATTTAAAAAATAGGCTCAAAATGAGCCGTTTAACAACACTACTGCCAATAAGTATTACGCCGACCTAGGACACAGCATAAGTCATTTTTTAAATTTAAACATCTGATTTCACCAGAATTTCCATCACGTATACTTACCCTATGAATTTCAGACAATTTTACCATGAACTTTTGAACTTAATATAATTTATATTCTTTTTTCATATATTTTAAAGGTTAGCGGCAAAATTGTCTACAATACATAAAATAGGTATTCTAAACATGCTGAAATACATTTTTGGTAAAATCAGATTTTTAAATTTAAAAAAAGCGTTCAAAAAATGATTTAAAGTTGGAAAAATAATATATTGCCGCTAACCTATATAAGGATAAAATTATGGCGATATCTAATTTCAATAAAACACATAAAAAAATCAATAAAGTTCATCGCTGCACATCATTAAGGCATTTTTTTTTCGTGAAATCCTGGTTATAGAGGTTGTAGATTATTAAGAGTTGAAATTAATCTTATAGTTAGAACTAATTACATGTAATATCTTTAAAAACATTAGACTGATACTCAATGCACTAAAAATGGGAAGTAACTGATGCCATTATAACTCGATTTGATCATATAAAACCAAAAAATTTTGCATATTATTATAAATTTTGTTTTTATGTTTCTGAAAGCCCTACTCCATTTATTTTTATATTATCGAGTGTAGATAATAAAACGCTCTCGTTTATGATTTCATATTAACATTACGATTGTCAGTCTATAGTTGTTATCATATTTAACCATCGCATTAATTATTTCACGCATTTCATTATTCAAAAAAATAACAGATGGTTCTAAGGATATAATCCGAACCGTGAAATTGCAATGAACCCTTGTAATTTTTTTGGAAGCTTAACAGAAGCGTTTAATGAAAGTTATAAATGCTTACGAACTAGATTAAACCGATTTATCATAACGGTTTTCTTAATTATATTTAATTATAATGATTAACAGCCTCAGCATTATTTAAATATATATTTTTTTAAATAGTATAGTTTGCGTTACTTAATTTGGTAATTCTTATTCAAGTTAATATTTTTTTTTAAAAAATCTAATTTATTCTTTTTGTTTAAGATTAATATTTTTATTAGTGTTAATGGGTCATTTTAAAAAAAAATACGTATTATGAATAATTTTTTTAAAAAAATCAAATCTTACAAAACCGGAATGAACCGATATAAATTTCTAAATCGAAATACATCGATATATAGTTGATCAAGATTATCTGGATTTTAAAATGTTAAAAGTTCCAATAAATAACAAAAAATATTAATATCATTTTGAATTTTGTTTTCTTCCAAACATTGCATGTTATAAACGAGTAAATTTTTTTGATATTTAAAAAAAAATTATTTTTGCAATGAAGAGGTGAAAATTGTTCTATGCCTTAAACAAAAATTTTCCGATAAGGACAAATTTTTTCATAAATACTTAGAACCACCTTAAAAAATGAGTACAACAGTGATTGCCCTAAATTCTAGATTTAGTCTTAAAATTTTGGGCTTAGACAAATCTTTATTTATTCAACATAAATAAAATTTAAACCTACATGTTTTATTAAAGGTCGATAAAAACTACAAAATTGTATTTTCAAATGAATTCTATGGTTGGTTTAAAATGTATTTTTTTGTCAAACCATTAAGTGGAAAACAAACAAAATAAATATGACGAATAAAAAAAATATCTAGATGACAATGTATAAATTAAATAGACTAATCAATCACCTGTTTGTGAATGTTAATATGAAGATATCTTTTATTCCTTTTTTAAATAACAATTTTACTAATAATTTACATTATTGTAATCATAGAAAATATAACTCATATTTAAATAAGTTATGGTTCAATAAGCCTGTTTCTAGGGTAATATGGAATCTCTAAGGAAACAAACTCTGAAAACTAATTATTCATAATATTGATATTCTATTTAAAGGCTTGTAACCAGGAATTTTCTGCAGAGGGGGGGGCATTTAAAAAAATGTTTTGTCATTTTTTTAACATTTAAAATTTATTGTGCAGATTCATATTAAAACCGATTAAAAAAATGATAATTTCTGATTACAAATTATTTTTAACCAAGTTAAATATAGATATTAGGTTGGCATGAATTCATGCTAAAATTAATTTAATAGATTAGAACGTCAAACCATGAATATATACGATAAAGTTTATTGAAAAGTAACAAAATAAATTTTAAAAAGTAAAATATACCAGAGTTGTTCAAATTTAGTTTCAAATGTAATTGTATGTGGGGACCGAAAACCGATAAATATGCATCCATAAAAAATGTTTCCGAATATGGATATAATATTTTTTTTTAAATTCAATTTTTTTTTAATAAATATCACATAAGGTGAAAGGTGATGCACTGCACCTAATGTTAAAATTGGGAATCTAAAACTCTTAGCAAAATCCTCAATACTATGCATGTAAATTAAAAGATTCACAAATAATTAAGGAAAAATTGCCTGAAATTCACAAGATAGGCAGCTAGAGTTGTAAATATTCTTTTAGGTAGCGCTTTGTTAAATATTTTTTTTAGATTAGCTAATAGGCTACTTAAACAAAAGTAGCGACAGCGGTAGCACGCTCTCCTTTTTTAGAGAGTAGTTTAAAATATAATAAATTGCTACTATAAAAAAATAGATTTATTATTTAATAATTAATTTTATATTAATATTAATTTATAGTTCAAAAAATGCTTTAAAAAATCTAATTTTATCAAGTTTTTAAAATATAAAACGCCGCCAATAGAGATAGACATGGAAGATAATTTTAAGACAAGTGATAACCACATTTCAATAAAAAATGATATCATGGAATTGCTTTTCTACAAATTTGAAAATATTTTGGACTTAATAAAAAATATTAATATAGGATTTAATATTAGATGCATAAAATAGTAAAGGACTATATCGTTCAATAAATCAGGCAGCTTTTCAACTTAAATAAATATGAAGGATATTATTCATAATTTTAATAGAATTAGAAGGTCCACACCTAAAATTTCAGCGAAAGATATCTCGATAACATTGTCGTAGGTACTAGAAGAGGGTATATCCAATAAATAAAATTTAATACAAACTAAATTGATTAATCCTACACCATCAAAACCAGGTGTTTATAAATTAGCTGATAAAGTCATAATAATTTTATAATTGATATAGTTCAGCCAATTTCCTTGGTCTCTAATTCCTTATTTATCAATATGATAATATTCATTTGATACTAAAATATTCTGCTCACAAAAGTGAATGGCAAGAATTTTAGAGAATTTTCAAGAGGCCTCTTATATCTTCACAACAACATGGGACTAATGAAGATATAATAATGTATTAATGATCTGATCTTTTATTAACTTAATTGGAAGGAGCAGCTAAATAGGCTATTATTAGCTGATAAATCGTCTTGACACATTTTTAAATCTAAAATAATCATATGAACATTTTAGATATTTTTTCCATATTTATAAAGTTTAGAAAATTAAATATCACATTGCCCTCATATTTAGTAAGGCAAACTTATACTTACTGATCCCCGCTCTAGATAGCGATGATTTTTTGTATTGACATGCAATATAATACATGTATTTTACATGTTTGAATTTGGAATGTTAACTTTATGGATATGATAAAATATTTTATAAAAAATTCAGTTGGGTAAAAAGAAGCCAAAGCTTTCTTAGCGCTCTACATTCTTGAAAATATAACAGTAGCGCTAGCGCGATATTTTTTTGCCAAATAGCGTTAAAAATAGCGCGCTACTTTCGAAAATAGCGTTTAACAGCACTGGTATATGTGTTGTAATAAGGTCTTTCGAAATTATAAAAACGCAAGTAAAAAAATTTCGTTTTTAAAAAATTACTAAAAGCGGGTCAATGAAGCATAGTCCTAAATTAAACCCCCTATATAATATAAATATCATTAAACTTTGTTTTGTAGAAACAGAGGTGGGAAAAGGTGTTTACGCCATTTAATTAAAATTTGCGTCATTTTACATCAATACCGTGGTAATAAATTTTTTTTAAAAAAAACTACAAATTTCTATATGCTACATTTAAAAAAACAAAATAACATTTTTAAGCCAAATTATTTAAAAATTCAAATAGATCCTCAGGCAATGATTTATATCAAATTTGTCATTTATTTTCACCTTTAGAATGTTAAATATAATTATTAAAACAAAAATTATTTTAATTATTACTATATTAAACCTATTATTATTGCTCTATGATATATTTATTGCATAATTATAATTTTAGTATAAATTAATTTAACTAAATATAATAAAATCAAATAAACCGCTAAGAGGCGCAAATTAAATTATAAAAATTGTATATTATAATTAAAATTAGACTAGCTACCATTATTGTTATTTGAAATCATTAAAAGCCTAAAAACAATTATTTGTATAAAATAAATCCCTTATAAGTTATCTACGTCATTTTGGAAAATTAACCTATCCTCAAAATATTTCAAAAGTATGATTTGAGTTACTGATTGGCAAAAGTTTATATTTAGTTCAAACATTAAATTTAAATATGATACACCTTTTTTTGCACTATAAGCTGATTAAAATGAATTATTAATATAAAATGGCTTTCTAGCTTTAAATTTATCTATAAACTAACCTATTCCTGCTTGTCCAACGACCCAGGAAAGACGCAAAAATAGCATCACACCCCATATATTGAGAAGGCATCTAACCTATTTCATATGGTATATATTTGTAAAATTGTTAAAAATGATCATTAACACTAATAAAAAAAATTTTTTTAAAAGGTCTACATAGAATTGATAAAGAAAATTTTATCTATAAATTTTATAATCGAAAAGAGCTAATGTTTTCGAAGCAATGATGATTTTCATTTTATATTAGGGTAAAAAATATTAATAACAATTTATTAAGCAAAGACCAAATTTAATCCATTTTTTTTATATAAATTAAATCTAACACTAAGGTCTTTATAGTAAGCGCGCTTTGTTATCGCGTTACATTATTAAAAAATAAAGCCAATAAATAGGTAAAATTTATAAATATGGAGCGTTATGGTGATAACGCTGTGATAAAATTTTAAAACATATGTTGCGAAGCTTTGCCAAAAAATATGCGATACGATTATAAAAATAGCGAATTCGATAAAAAAGTATAAAATTTTTCTTAAATATTATATAAAGTTGCGCAGGCGCGTACGCAGGAATTTGGTCTGGGGGGGGATAATAAAATTTTTTAAGAAATATTATTGTTTTTTAAAAATATCAAGCATAAATTTATTAGGACTAATAACTATTTCTAATACACAATTTTAAATTTATGTGAATTATAAAAAAATTATATGTAAAGAATCACTTAAATGACCCAAAATAGAGATTTGAATTTTTTGAGCCTTTACACAAAAAGTTTCATAGGAATAATTGTATTTTATATGTTATATATTTACAATGTAAAATCCAATCTTCGCTGTGATTGAGCTAATTTTTCAATTATCTCATCCTTGCTTGTCGTCAAATGCCTATGAGTATTCAAAAGATCCATACCTTTCAATCTACTTTAAGATGTTGTACTTCTTGGTATGTTTTTCAGAGACCTGCAAGCCCGGCCCCCGGGCTGGACAGTATTTTAATTTTTTTAAATATACCCGGGCCGGAAATTTTTTTTAAAAACAACCAAGCCGGGCCTGAAAATTTTATTTAAAAAAAAGCCGGGCCGGGCCTGAAAATTTTTAAAAAAAAGCCGAGTCGGGCCTAAAATTTTTTAAAAGCAGGCCTCTGTTATTCTTCTTAAAAAAGAAATTGTTCTCTCATTAGTTTACTAATGGGAAGAGTTTATAAACCCTTTTAATACATTGGGAATTTAATCTAAAATGTGTTTGGAATAATGCAGAGCATCCATAGCATTTTTTGGGACTATATCAACCATTGATAATCTTATAAACATAATTATTCAGTTAGTAAGGCAACATAAGATACTTTAACATCTTCATAATAAAAATCTAACAAATATTTTTTTTTCTATCACCATCTGAAAAAGGTTGGGAAGGCTTTTGTGGAAGTAATATTTGCAGATTAGTAAGTGCTGCATGATGAATTAAAAATTTATTTATTTGGGTTATAAATGTATCTGTATTTAAGATATACTCTTCTACTGATACTATATTAATGTTTTAACGATGAGCTTGCCTTGCTACAAGTCGAGGGAGACAAATATTAAACACGTATAGCTCTGCTTTTGACTCAACAATAAAATATGAAATTCTTCATCAACATTAGCCCTAATTTATTGAGTTCTGATAAAATGCTCTCCGCTATTCTCATTTCTTAATCAAGTCAATGTCATGTTTTTGAAAAGTAATACTTAAAATAGTTGTATAATTAAATAATACATTCTAATGAGAAATAAAATTTGGAATAAGCATTGAATCCAATAATTTTCTTGCTTCTGAGGAAATATTTCTTTCAGGCCATTGTGATATTTTAGTAATAGCAAATAATTGGCTCTTCTAACTCCTTAAAAGCTGTTACTGCTTGATGGCAGAGACTCTATCTCGTTGGACAAGGTTGCAATTTTTTTTTCCCTGTTGGATAAGAAGTTTTAGAAATAATAATTATTTGACTAGAAATTTGAAAATGGTAGATAAATATTACGCCACTAAAAATTTGAAAATAATAAGTAAATATTACGCCGGAAAACTTGAAATCGAAATTAATTGATAAAATAACTTAGGAGATAAATGTGATAATAAATGTAATTAATTATATATTTAATATGAGATACGAATAAATATTAACAAATATAAATTAATATAAACAATAATATTTTTGAAAAATATATCCGGCATCTGCATTTTTTGGCTTTGGGGGGGGGGGGGGGGGGGGTTTGTCCCCCTGCCCCCCCCCCGCTGCGTACGCCAATGACGCTGCGTTAAATAACGCAAAGCATGAACAAAATGCATTTACTATAAATGCAGCGTAACCCACACCTTTATAACCTTCTTAATCATGTTTGATTTCAGAAAAAAATTATCGACTAAATAAATATTTAATTGAAAATGGATACTGGGGGGGGGAATATTTTGGTGTCGGTTAAAATATATCGTTATAATCGGGAATAAAACTTTGCACGCAATTGAAAAACAATCTTATATATAATACATCACAAAATTTTGTTATATTTACCACAACACCCTTGATCCAACCAAACTTCGGACCTTGAGATATTCCCATTTCTTTCTCCGATTCTATGTCCCCAATCTCCTTTTCTTCCTATAAGTGTAAATAAAATTTATAAAGTATATACTATATAAAAGTCAGCGCAAGGGGACAATTGTTATAAGCAACTCATAACAAATATAAAGGTCAAATGTACTAACTAATTTAATTATTTCAGATAAATGCATATATATATTTGTTTGTAATAATTGAATTACTAAAAAAACTAATCTTATGAGTATATTATGTAGCGCATAATAAATCCAGGGCATTGATCCCCTTGAATATTAGACTATTGTAATTAAATATTATATTATTTGTATTAATAAACCATTAATGTATTTAGCACATTTTTTAAATTAATCAGTGGGATTAAATATCTTATCTTAACGATAAAACTTCAACCAAAAATTAAAAAAACATCGATAAAGAACAAAATAAACTGTATTTTACCATTTTATTTTGTTATATATATATACGCACCTTTTCCCTATGTAATTTGATTTTCTAAAATAATTTTAATTAAAAATTTTTTTTATTAAAATCTGCTGTCTCAAAATTATAAATATTAGATTATAATAATTTAATTCCTGTTTTATAAAAAAAAATCGACTCCATCTTCTCACTGGAATTAAAATCCTAGATATGCTACCAAATACATTTATCTATAAATTGAAAGGTGAAGGGCACGTAATCAAAAATATATTTGATTTTTTCCCTTAAACATTAAAAATTCAAGCATGGCAGTAATCGAGGGAGGGGGGGGGGTCATAGCTAGTAAATGGAGAACTGATGTACCAGATACAAAATTAACATGAATTTAAAAATATTAAATTGGGCTTATTTTCACTAAAATATTATTATCCTAAGATCAATTTCTATATAGTACATATTGGGTGATTTTATATCAAATAGAATAAATGAAACTTAGTTGTTGGTTATATATGTAACATTTATATATAAATAAAAATTTAAAAGCTCTATTTCAAGTGCATCAGGAATTATGGGCTCCTAAAGTCATATACAGATGCGATCTCGGTTTTAAGAATTTCAAATTACTCGATAAATATTTGGTTTAAGTGTATAAATAAATTTTATATTTTTTTAGCCTTTAAATTTCCTTTAAGAAAATATAAGAATAATTTCTAAAAAATTCTACAATATCAATTTATTTATGGTAAGTTATTTTGAACGAGTCCCATTCTGTGAATCGCCAGATATGTTATATTTAAATATTAAGAATAAGATATAATAGAAGAAGTTAGAATTCAAATATCATTTTATTTTTCATAATTTTGGGAATAAAAAAACTAAATATAGAAAGGCGATATCGTTAAGAAATAATTGCCAATGAAATTTTTTTATATAAAAATAAGCACATATTACAAATGTTTTGAAAACGAACGCGTTCGTGAACGAAGTTCGTTTTTTGAAAAAGATGATGAACGCCGTTCCTTTTATTTTTGACTTGAACGTGAACGCGTTCCTTTTTCATATTCGTTCAATTTTGGAAAACCTTAATTTTATTCATTTTAAAACAAAAAATATTTAATTTTTTAAGAAAAAGGGTAATTTTTTTAATCAGCTGTTTTCTTTATCATATTTAAATTTTTTTAACAGCCACTATTTCTGTCCTCAGTTTACTAATTTGAATATTATTAAGCATCTTTATTGATACTTCATCATCCGATTCTGAAAATTCAATGAATTAAGATTATTATGGCAAAATATAATAAATATTTAACAGAAACACTTATATGCAATAAACTAATTCTATCTCCTTACCAAATGTAAAATGTGTCAAAAAAAATAATATCAGTTTTAAAATTCTCAAGTTCTAATCTAAAGAGATACTTTATTTATTCATTTATATAATATAACTATAAATATCCTGTTAATAATTTATTTTAGATTGTTGCTTATTAAATTATTAAAATAGATAAAAAGTAAAAATCATTAAGTATTATATATTATACACATAAATATAAAATAGTTAATATCTTTTTTAAGATTTATATTTTTTAATGTGATTATTTGGAATTTCGTTTATTATTATTAAGTTATTTAGGGTTTTATTTTTAAAAGTTAAACCTGAGATCTGCATTGGGCGGGGTTTCGGCCCGTCCGCCCATCTAAGTGGGCGGGCGGATGGGCGGGTAAAAAAATTTTCAAAAATGGGCAGGTGGGCGGGTTAAAAAAAATTTTAAACTATGGGCGGACGGGTTAAAAAAATTTGAAACTCTGGGCGGGCTGGGCGGGCGAGTTAAGAAATTTGAATAATGGGCGGGCGGGTAAAGGAAATTTAAAATAAACTAAAAAAAAATAATTGTTTTAATGAACTATAACAATATTTCTTTTTTTATTGTACCAATCGTTTTTTTTTAAGTGGAGAACATTTACCTAACTATAGTAATAAACACAACAATAAAACTTTTTTCTTAGAATAAATAAACATTTTATTAAAAATTTCCTTTTATGGGAATGTAATAAAACTTTAAAAATTTCATTTTTTGGGGTTTGCAATCTGCATTGTATTATTTTATTTTAGTAATAATTGTTTATCTTTTTATTTTATTATATAATATATAAATTTTATTTTTTATAACATAATTTTTAATAAAAAAATATATTTTAATTTAATTTTTATTTTAAAATTTTATTATGAATAAAGAAAATATATCTAAAAAAATAAAAAATAATTTATATAAATTAAAAGAAAATTCAGATAACAATAAACTAAAATCTTCAATGTGGAAACAATTTAAAATCATTTTCGATGAAAATGACAAAAAGCTAGATTGGATTCGCTGCAATGATTGCGAATCTATCTATAAATATAATAACAAAAGTGGCACATCCTTCTTCTTTCGTCATCAATGGCAAATTGTGAAGATTTGATAGGTAATAAAAAAATATCCTGATATTTTCAAAGACAATTCTCAATTAAACAAAACGATAAAATCGGGTCTAATCGCCAATTTTATAGAATATTGCGCTAGAGATATTAGGTATTTTAATTTTTATTAATTTATTCTTTTATCTTTATTTAGGCCATTTCAAGCCGTTCAAGGACCAGGATTTGTAAATATTTTACAAAGATTTTTAGACTTAGGGGCCACATATGGAAAATTGGAAGCCGAAAAAATTATTCCTTGCCCCACAACCGTTAGCAGGCACATATCCAAAGTTACTGAGGATCTTAAGGAAATATTATTTCCTAAAATTGGAGAAATGATAAAAAATTCTATTTGCTGATGTACTACAGATATGTGGTGCGAGGATTTTACAAAAACCGATTATATATCTTTATCAATCCATTATATACAAAATTGGAAATTAGAAAAAAAAAAATTTTTTATTTCAAAATTTCAAAAGGAAAAAAAGACGGGAGAAAATATTCTTAAAGAATTATTAAAAAAAATTTTTAAACTTGGTGTGCCCCGAGAATACTTTTCCAAACTCATGTCACCGATTAAGGAGCAAATATTAAAAAAGCGTTGGAAGGGTAAATTTTTTGTTAAATTTTATCAAATTGGTAGATATTATAATAATTTATGAGAGATTCTGTTCTGTATACGCCTAAATAAAAACATTCATATTTAGAGAACTATATTTTCCGTTTATTTTTTTAAATATTAGATTTAATAGACTAAACTGTTCAGCACATATGTTGAACACAATTCTCCGCAATGCTTTCCAGCCAACTTTTATTTTGGGAAATACTCCTGACCTGAGATTAATAACATTTTGATCACTGCAAAATCGTTGACCACTTATTTCAAACAAAGTGGTAACATAAAATATCTGAGCAAGACGTTAAAACAAAATATTGATATAAGATGGAATACAAAACATAAGATGCTACAAAGCATTTATATAATGTATGATGAGATTTTATCGTTCTTACAATCTCGTGATATGAGTGAAAAAATGGGATCTATGGGAAAGGAAGGTTTAAAAACACTGATAGATTATTTGGAGCCATATAAAGATGCAACTAATGTTCTTGAGAGCGACTGCAGGCCTACACTACAGAACGTTCTTATATGGTATAAAAATTAGTATTTTAGGATTTATGCATATCATTTCATTATTTATAAAAAAAATAGGTATAATCTTCTTCTACATGAGCTTAATCAAATAAATATGGATATAACGGGAAAAACAAATTGTGAAAAAGAAATAGATTTAATAAAGAAAAGAGCTAAAAATATTATAATTGAAAAATTTGAAATCCATATGCTTCATAAAATTTCAACATTTTTAATACCAAAGTTCCTACAAATGAGGATGTTGACGTCGGAAGAAATTAATGAAGTAAAAAAACATATTGAAAACATGTTGGATTTGATTTGCATCGAAGAATATAACATCGACGTGGATGAAAATCTGATTTTATCTCTTTCCCCAAATACAAAGAGAATCAAATTAAAGGGTATTAATAAATTATAAAATCTATATTAAATGCAATGTTTGAAATAAATAGCATCCGCTTCAAAATTAAACCCCAACATATGGGAGGATGAGGTTGTTACAGAGGAGAGTATTGTACCTAATGACATAACAAAATATTTAAATCTTAAAGTAACCAGTTTTGATATGTATAATTTAGCAAAATTTTAAGTTGCATATTACAATTAATTTAAATTTTAAATTACTTTATTAAATTTATTATTATTGGTTTCACTTTTATTTTAAGATCTCAATTGAGGAAGAGGATATACTTCAAACGGATATCCTACTTTGGTGGAAACGATAAGAAAGAGATTTGCCAAAGCTATCAAGATTAGCAAGAAAAATATTGGCAATTCCTGCAACTAGTGCTTCTTCCGAACGCGGATTTAGCATTGCTGGAAGATTTTTAGAACAAAGAAGAACGTGTTTGAATCCAGAAAATGTCGATTCATTATTATTTTTGCATTATAATTACATATAATATTATTTTTACATTTATATTTTTTCCATAAATATTCAATTTGATCAAATAAATTGTCCATAATTTACATTGATTATTTTTATACTTATATTAATTTCCTAAATTATAAACTTTTTGT